TCAATTTTTGTCTACTTTTAGTGTATCAGTGTCATTTTGTAGACATTACTTGTAATAAAAATGAGGAATGCAAAATGTTAGAGAAAATGATGTAATTATCATGATTTGATCTTTATTCTTTGAAACGTTTTGTGACTTAGTTCTGCAAGACATTTGATTATGAATTAATTCAAACTAGAGAAGTACGATGATCGTTTAGGCAAAAACGAATAGAAATTAAGAATGTTACTTTATTTTTTTCTAAAATAAATGATGCATTTTCATCAAAGAATGCGTGTTCTAAGGAGAAGCGAAGTATATGGATGGTATATTAAACTTCTGTAGGATATTTTGAGCAGAAAAACACCATATTTTTCAGTTCTCACCATAGATAAATATCAATATCATTTCGTTGGCATTCTCCTAATCACTTTAATTTTGAAACAGATGTGTAGTTCTCATCAGTGATCAATAATTCAGTAGATTTTAAGTTGTATAATTCGATTAAAATTCTGATAAAGTTTCTCTCATTTTAAGAGAAATTTTGTTTCTTATTCAGTTTAACAAGTTAGCATGAAGTTGATCTTTTAATACTGAGGCTGTTGGTGAGTGGGTGCGGGTGTGCCAGGTGAATAGAGTATCCATATCTACATCCACACCCACCACCAAGGTTTCAAATAATTGACAATAAGAATTTTATTTATTAAAGATCAATGTTATTTTCAACATGTCAATTTGAAAAAAACTAAAAATAAAATAGAAATTGTATAAATCAGCTTGAACTATGATGACATGAAGACCACTCATATTGAAGTTTGTAATAGATATGATTTTAATTAACATTGAATCTTTTCACATGGTAATTGTTCTTTAAATAGTGAGAATGTTTCAACCAGAAGGTAAGCAATAATAGAACCCATTAAAGCACCGAACTGTACATTAGCACCAAACCAGAACATTCCATTTGATGAGTGAAGACGAACATAATTAGCAATAACAAGACGAGGATAACCAAGAAGAAGAAAGGTGCTCAACCAAATAACAAGAATAAGAACATTACCTTTCATGGTGTTAATGAACGGTGGACAAGGACTTTTGAATGCTAGTGTTAACTCAAAACTAAATGTAATCGATCCTAATATAATCAAAAGTAACAAATAACGTTTCGCGACAAATGGTTTAATTGTACCAAATAACCATACAAGTGAGAACATCCATGGAGAAAGAATTGTACCCAAATAAAAAACTTGATGACCATATGGCATAAGAACGTAGGCTGAAATAGAGAAAACCATTCCGAATATAATTGAACTTGTATAAGCTGATCCCGATAAAAGCAGAAGATAAAGTAGAGGAGTTAGTTTGTGTCGTTGTGATTTGATAGTACTATCAGAATCAATCATAATGTTCATTGTATTTTCATTATTAGTTTCTAACATCATTGGCTCTTTGGTAGCATCTTGACTACTAGTTTGAGCAATTTTTGTCCATTGCAGAAGTACGAATGCAATAAATGATACAACCAATATGAAAAAAATACAAAGAAAATAGATTGAAACTGAAAATCGAGCCGTTTCGTAAATAGCAATAGTCGTATCATTATTAGATGAAGGAACACATGTAAGTTGTCCATTACCTTGCATCATAGCTAAAAGACTTGGAATAACCATAGTAAGACTTTCACCCAGAAAGAGAGCACTTGTAAATTCACGTCGAAAACGTGTCATATAATGAGAAAATGTTACCATTGATGTACAATCAAGTAATGCTAGGAAGAAGGTAAGAATAAAAAGAGCTAAACTACGATTTCGATTGTATATATAAGTTGTATTAGACCAAAAGAAAACGAGTAATAAACATGATGACATACCAATAATAATAACAATATAATTTATTAGAATAACATTAAGAGATTGTTTTCGAAAAATACATTTAGAAAAAACAAGTATCAATGGTGCAATATTACTCATACTCGCAACAAGTCCAATATAAGTACCTAATTTCCAACCTTCTGGTTGTGTTAAAACGATTTGAGGTAGTTCAGTAAATATACCATTCATGTCTGTCCAAGACGATAAAAATAATAACGTAAGAAGTATATAAGTTAGATATTCGTTCAATTTCCATTCTTTATTAAACATTGTCAAAAACCAACTTATAATAAATCTTTTAAATAAATAAATGTTAGAGATTAGAAATATGTTCTTCAAGAATAGATTTCAAAATAATGTTGTTTGAATGTGGATCGTATACTTATGAATGATAGAAGAAAATAAAGATTGCTATGCAATTCAGTTTTATTATTCACCGTCGAAAGTACTCTATTGACTTTAACAACAAATTATATTTCATTAAGAACTGATTTATAATATAAAAAAGAACACAATAGATGTGTTAACTAAATTTTGTCTGCTATAGATATAAAAACTTTCGAAAGGAACAATTTTTCTTGAGCTCTATATTATTAAAAAAATATCTTCTTATCTTCGTCAATATGACCAAAGAATCATAACAAAACGTTATACACATTAATCAAGCAATCGCTGTTTTTTTTATAGTACTATTGTGTGAAAAGCTTGACTGTCATGTATATCTAATCTTACCTGATTATATCAATATGATGAAATGCACATTTTTTCAGAAGAGTTATATGTAAGAAAAAAAATTTCTTTTTCCTTCCTTTTCTTTACAAGGATTCTTCGCATGTAGAACTGTAATCTGAGTGGTTGCCCATGCTGTAAAAAACTGAAGGAGGCGAAATATAAAACGCATAGCGTTGTAAAATATGTTTTTGTGTGCTTATGAAAAAAATCACATTTGTAAACATTTATTCCTATATCGATAGTATCTTGTGCGTTATAAAACTATATACGATGTAAAGAAGTATTTTAAGTTTAGGTTGAATCGTATCCGATGCACTGGCCATAATAGAATCCTAAAAAACATAGCGCTTTGCTTTTATTTGAGAAAAAAGTGAATGCTCAATTTCAGATGTTTTTATTACAAAAGTGTTTCAATATAAAACAAGCTAAGCAGAATGGTTTCTTGCATAAGAAGTACTATCTTTTTCTTCTTTTCTCTCCTTTTTGTTCACTTGGCCATTTTCCTTCTCTTTATTTTGTTTAGAAATATTCTCCTCTTCACCATATTTTATTTCTGACATGTTTGGTAATTCCTAGCTCGTTTATATATATAATCATCGTTTCTCCAATCAAGTTAGTTCTGTATTATTCTAAGAGAGACAATTAAATCATATGTGCTGCATGAAGAAAAAATATTGAAAATGGACGTAGAACAAGTACTTATTTTTTCGCATGCTAACAGTGAACGTGTTAATTAGAAAAAATAAATATTATTTGAAAAATATCTCTTCTAGATGACAATTTGATGACGTCATTGAACAAAAACAACATAAAAGTACGTGATAAAATAAAGTCCTGATAAAATGGATTATTTAGAGAATATGTTTTACTGACGTCAATCATTTATTAATCATTGAAATTGATATTTTATTTTGATTTTTATCACGTCTTGTATCTAAAAAAAAGATATTTTCAAATGAAAGTCATTGTTAAATAACTGAATTTAATGATATTTTCTTTTTCAAAATTAAATCCTATCAGATTCGAAATAAAATCATTTGAAGAGTTATTAATTAAATCTAAACAGTAGTAAAGATAATTATCAGTAAAGAATCGTCTCTCGAAATATATCATTGTTTTTCTAGATGATATTTGTTGATCATGAGAAGAGAAAAAAAGAGGGCTATATAAAGAATAAAGAAATGAAGAAATAGTTTTACAACTTCACTTTTCTTTATCATTGATGACGAAGAACAATTTCAACATCTTTCTCATGATTATGTTGGTTACGATCAACCCAATATCAGGTAATCATCTCTTTTTATTGTATTTAACTTAGATTGATCCGTTGTTAGATTCTCATAAAAACTACTGAATAAAGATTATTAAGAAGAATTCATTTGATCAGTAAATTTTATCTAATAAAGCAATTCTTTTATAGTTCGTTAAAATAGTTTCTCCAGTAGAAGACATCAAGAACGTAGTAGATGAAGCTTGTCGGTGAGAATCCATCAGATAGAAGGGTGTGGGTGTAGGTATTCTATTTTATTCGTATCTACACCAACACCCTCAAGATTTTTCCGAGGAGATTTCTATCTGAGATTTTTCATTTTAGCACTTTCATTTAATCAACCAAAATTTTGTCCAACAGCAGTTTGGAATCCTTTTGCAATTACTTTTACTAATCAAACAATTATTGGATCGTATACTTACACCCTTTTTCTCAATACTAACAACACAGTTTATACAGTTAATCGAGAGAAGAGACAAATCTTAATGTGGATTAACAATAGTATCAATCCAAACAAAATTATTTCTGCTAATTTCTTTGATTCAGCATCCATCTTCGTTGCAAATAATGGTGATATTTATTATGACAATGGTGAAAGGAATGGTCGAGTCGATAAATGGATATTAAATACAAATACTTTTGTTAATGTTATGAATATTGATGCACCATGTTATGGTCTCTTTATCGATACTAATGATACTCTATATTGTTCAATGTATTCTCAACATCAAGTTATCAAAAGATGGTTAAATGATAGTGAAATGATATCAATAACTGCAGCTGGATCGGGCACTCAAGGATCTGCTGCAAATGAACTTTGGAATCCTTTGGGAATCTTTGTTGACATAAACTTTGATTTATATGTGGCAGATTGTTTCAATGATCGAATTCAACTATTTGAATTCGGAGAATTAAATGGAACAACAATAGTTGGACAAGGATCATCAAATAATATTATTTCACTTTTATGTCCATCTGGAATTGTATTAGATGCTGATAAATATCTTTTTATTGTCGATCGAAATAATCATCGTATAATTAGATCACGATCAAATGATATTCGATGTATAATTGGATGTGGTAGAGAAGGACCACAATCCTATCAATTATCGAATCCAATAACTCTTAGTTTCGATAGTTATGGAAACATATTTATTACTGATGCACTTAATAATCGCATTCAAAAATTTGATTTCATATTAAATTCTTGTGGTAAGCTTAAAAAAATAATTCAAATCCACACTACAGCCATCTACTCTCTTGATGTTATTAGATTCTGTACTACTTAGACATTTATATTATATTTTAATATGAGGCAAAGAAAGAAAATACATCCAATAGTGTCGATTATAGATAATATTGAACAATCGTATGTTCTCTTTTGTTTCACCGTTAAACGCAGTATGTAAATAATAGTTATTGTTTACATATGAAAGAGTCGCGCATGGAAGCATATATTGAAAATAATTGAAGTTTATTTAATGCTTTACAAATTTTGATCCATTTGTTTTTGTTGAATAGATAACTCATCCATAGTTCAATCAATTTATTCATCCGTATTAACAGAAAAACATTCGACATATTCTCGCACTGGTTGTGATCTTTCGAAGTATTATTATGAAGTCATACAAGTGAGTGTCCATGAAAGTCGCTCTTATAGTCTCAGTAGCAATAGTAGTGTCGATATATATGGCTACATGTATACCGAGAGTTTTTATCCATCCGATCCATTTACAAATTTAATTATGCAAGATGATAACAGTTGCGGTAAACATCAGTTTAATATGAGAACTTTACTATGGTCTACCACTGCGAATATACTGGTTGTAACAACGTGTAGTCCAAATGTAACAGGAAAATTCTCAATTATTGTATCTGGCATCAATAATGTCACTTTTGAACGTCTAAGTGAGTGTCTATAATAATATTTATAAATATTAGAGCAGAAGTGCAAAGTATAGAAAATTTACGTATACTCAATTTTCATTCTGTGTTTGAGGGTGTGGATGTGGCTGTCTTTTATTGATCTAAACAGAACACCCACACCCACACCCTCAAGAATCATCAGTACAGCTTCACCATGAAATATCCACTTTGAGTACATATATGCGAACGAAAAACAAGATATAAAGCTGTATAAGTTTACTAAGATGTTATGAATTTTTATCGGATTGTTCTTTATTGAAAAGATACTTCATCAGTCGTTCAGTTGGTTTACTCATCAGCATTAACAGAAACTCATCCAATGTATTCGCATACGGACTGTGATCATTCAACCTATTATGAAGCGATACAAATTAATATAAATGAGAGTGGTTATTATACTTTTGCTAGCAATAACAGTATCATTATGAAAGGCTATATGTACAAAGATTATTTTAATCCATTCAATCCATTTAAAAATTTAATGTCGAAAGATGTAAATCGCTGCAATTACTATCAGTTCAGATTGGGAGTTTACCTTGAGATCAATACTAATTACATATTAATTGTGACAACCAAAAATCCAAACGTGACAGATTCATTCTCAATCATTGCATCTGGTTCCAACCACATCACCTTCGAACGTTTAAGTAAGTGTCTATATTATTTTCAAAAAAATCAGTTTCAAAGTGTATGTTAAACTCAATCTGATTTTTGAATCCATTAAAAATCTTCGAAAACTCATTACCGAAACGATCAGGGATAAGTCTTTACAAGGATCAATGTTCACAATTTAGTATCAATACACTAAATATAAATGATATTTAGAAAATTTAAAGCTTGTTTTTTTTATTCGAGCGAAGCGGAAAATCTTTTGAGTCTTCGTTAAATACCAAAATACCTGAAACAGCTCTCAGTTCCAGGATTGATTATATTTGACAGAGAAAAGTTATCAGCGAGATCAACTGATTGAATGTGATATTTGATTTTAAAGTGAATCATTTTTTGATAAAAGTCCGTTAAATTTTGATACAAAATCATAATTTTAACGTTTTCTTCATTTATTTCATCCGAAATACGAATACTACGATATCCATAGATTATCTTGAAATAATCAAAATTCAAACAGTATAATCAACTTTCTCTGTCGAAATGATTTCCTTCTATTTTCTTGCTGAACGTATTAAATAGATCTTTACCATCACATCTTCACTCTGTAGATATATATTTGAAAGAAAAACGATATTGAGCAAGTTTTTAAACTCATCTACATGTATTAGGAATAAAATACTGATCGATTTGTTTCTTTTTGACCAGATACTTCATCAGTTGTTCAATTGGTCTATTCATCAGAATTAACAATCGATAATCAAAAATATTCTCGTAATTGTGGCAAATCAAACTATTACTATGAGACTATACAAATCGATGTAGTCACCAATGAAATCTATATGATTGCAAGTAAAAGTATTGTTGATACATATGGATATATCTACAAAAATAGTTTCGATCCATTTAATCCATCGGTAAATTTAATCTTAGAGGATGATGATAGCTGCGATGGCGAACAGTTTCGACTCACAGTCAATCTTCTAGTCAATGTTAAATACATATTGGTTGTGACAACATTTTATTCAGATGTAACAGAATCATTTTCAATCATTGTGTCTGGACCAACGAACACCAGTGTCAAACGTATTAGTGAGTATTCAGACTTTTGAGGGTGTGGGTATTTTGTTTAGATCAACAAGGAACGCCCATACCCATAACCACCCTTTTTATGTATCAACTAAAATAACATTTTGAAAATATTCAAACATAAGATAGTCTATTTAACTTTAGTTATTTAAAGTTTAAATCTTTGTTTTATTTGTATAGTTGAAAATCACGATGAATGTGTTATTGGTGGTTCATGTAATGTTCAAATTAAAGGTATTGGTATAACTCTTGATGATATTTTACGTTACGAAATCAAACGAAATATGACATTAAAGAATCAACCATTATTAGTGAAAATGAGTGTTGTTTTAGCAAATGTTATGTTTCTTATGGGTCTAATCAATGGTATTTTATCACTTTTAACATTTCAAAATGCAAATTTACGAAAAGTTGGATGTGGAATATATCTTTTAGCATCTTCAATAACTTCTCTTTTGACAATTTTTATGTTTACAATCAAATTCTGGTTTGTTCTTCTGATTCAAATGAATTCATCCATTAATATATCTATTCGCCGAGGTGGATGTATTTCTATCGAACCTCTTCTCAAACTTTTTCTTTATTTTGATACATGGCTTAATGCTTGCGTTGCTATTGAACGAGCAATTCATGTTTATCAAGGTATTCATTTTAATAAAGAAAAGAGTAAACGTCTTGCTCGATGGATTATATTTATCTTACCATTTTGTATCACAGCTACGATCATTCACGAACCTTTACATCGCGATATCTTCGAACATCAAGTAAAAGATGACCTGGATAAAACAAAGATAATAGAGAGAAATAGTTGGTGTGCAATTCAGTATTCTCGTGCTGTTCAAGATTATAATACAGCCATTCTTTTCGTTCATTTAATTGGTCCATTTATTGCTAATCTCTTTTCCGCCTTATTCATCATTTTTGGAACGGCCCGACAACGATCATTAGCTCAAACGAGTCAAAATTACATTGCACATATTCGTGCACAATTGGGTGAACATAAACAACTAGTGATTAGTCCAGCAATTTTACTTATTTTATCAATACCACGTTTGATCATTTCATTATTATCTGGATGTGTGAAGGTATCTGATAAACCTTGGTTATATCTTTGTGCTTATTTCATTTCATTTACTCCTGCGATACTTGTCTTTATTGTATTTGTCATTCCATCAGAATTGTACAGAAAGACACTAAAACAATCATTGAGTACTTGGCAACGACGAACTCGTCATTGAAATTTGTATCATATTTTCGAATATTAGGGTGTGAGTGTGTGAAGAGAACACACCCACACCCTACCAAAATGTTTCACAGAATCTCTTTAAAATAAAATAAAAACATTGGATGTCATAGCATTTTATCTGTTAGAACTCTTCTATCTACTTGTCAATCAACACTGATATATTCATTCAAAAAATATGAACGAAGGACGAGTGTGTAGCTAACTAAAGTAATATTTGACATTGAAATTCAGTTTTAACTTAATTAAGTCACTATAATCTTTTTATTATATTCTCTTTTCTGAAAAAAAAGAATTATACAGTGTTTAAATCCTTGGCTTAAAATAAATGATTTGGAATATGTGTCAGGTGAACTCAATAGGAAAAAGTATAAGTTATGAAAGTAATAGTGCTGTGTTATCGAGTAAATAAAACATCCACACCCTCACTGATACACTGAAGATAGTTTCATTAACGTTTTTATGCAAATATATTATGTCATTGGATGAAATCTTCTAAAAGATCAAAACATTTCTTCAATGTCAGTTCGAGAAACTCATTTAAAGTTTCATAGAACATCTATCCAATTCTTTCTTTTTGCATATCTCATCATTTCTGCTGTCTGTGTCTCTACCATTCATTATCATTTACCATGTTGTTATTTCACTTGATGATCATCCACAGCGAACTATAAGTAAGTATTGGATGTCTTTTTCCAAACATGATTTCAAATACAACAGTACATTGAATAATTCATCACGAGAAGCAAGCAAATAAATAAATAATGTCTTTTGCATTTATTATAATTGTCATGTCATTGAAATTGAACAGACTGATTAGAGAGGAGTACGCCTTCGAATACGATTGAACGATTGTTTAAATGCTTTCATATACAATTCTGAATGAAAGACAAAGATAAGAAAGATTAGCATCGAGGGAGTAAACGAAATGAAATATGGCCCAAGATACAACCACAAGTTATCAGATGTTTTCGCACAACCAGGAAGTAATGAAATGATGAGACGAGGTGTTGATAGAATAAGTAAAATTATTGGACTAATGATTAATTGTTTATGTTCACGGAATTGTTCTTGAATATGTTCTTTAAAGCTTTGGTTAGTTCGTGCCATTGATCGTTGGTAAGCACCTCCAAAAATGATGAGCAATGCAGAGAAAAGATTCACAATAAATGGACCAACGAGATAAAAAAATAGAACGACTGTATTGTAATCTTGGGCAGTAGAAGAATAACGAGTGATACATGATACATATCGCTTGATTGTGTCTATACTTGTCTTATTAATATTTATCTTATCCAGTCCTGTTTCATAGACGAATAATCTTCAATATACAAGCTCGTGAATAAGAGTACCGAAAATGCAGAATGGTAAAATAAAAATTGTTCGTCGAGCAACAGATTTGCTCTTTTTTTTATCAAATTTTACTCCTTTAAAAATAAGTACTGCTCGTTCAACTGCTACACAAGCATTAAGCCAACCATCCAAGTAGAGAAAAAGTTTTAGAATTGATTCAATAGATGTATAACCTCCACGAAGAACAGAGAGACTAGTGGACACATTGATATGAGTAAGAACAACAAACCAGAATTTGATTATAAACATACTAATTGTCAAAAGAGAAGTAGTCGATGATGTTAATAGATACATCCCACATCCAACTTGTTGAGAATATTTATGTTAAAATGTAATAAAAGAGAGAACACTATTGATTAATCCTGCGATGAACATAATTATTGATAAACCCGCACTTAATTTTTATATAATGGAGATGGTGATCTATATGGAATAAATGGATCTACATTTTATCTCAAACCAAAATAATCAAATGATTTCTCAAAACTTTGTTTTCATTTACATTAACCTGTTCATCTTTTCTTTTTTTAATATTGATTTTATCTGGAAAAATCAATTAATTTACTTTTTCATATGTTATAATGTGATATGATAAAACAAATCTCTTTCTTTTCTATTCTGTATAATTCCTATTTCAAGGTGTACAAATAAATTTGATACCGAGAGAAGATTCCAGTAGTGTTCAGATTTTCAATCATTTTGAAACTATGAATCGATACAAACTCAGATATCTACAATAGTATCAATCAGTATTCCAGCTTATACTTTTAAACTTAAAGTAAACTCATTCTTCAAACCACAAAAAAGTCTATTATAGTCGCTGCAAGAGATCAGTACCATCACTTTTGAATATATAACAGAAACTCCTGTCAAATTCTATAATCTATTAACTCACTTCCTTTTGTTCAATTTAAACTCTAACCAACAATGTCACTTTTGTGTCATAGCTGATTTTCAGTATATGACAAATCATAGTATCTACCTGATGTTTTATTGTTGAGACTGAATAAAAGAATAATGATAAATATGTAGATATTCCACATTATTTAACAAGATTTATCTCTTGATAAATTAGTTAACTAATAAAATAATCTTCTTCTTCTTTGTCTTCGATAAAAACAAAATGAAACTTATTGTAGATTTTCTCTCTAATTATATATCTCTCTTTCTCTCTTTTTTCTCTCAGTCATTTCTTCTAAGATAACACAAAGAGAAAGAGTAGTGTTCTAGAGAGAAGATTTTATCGTAGGTAAGATCAAAAATTTATGATTTAATTTGATATTTTTCAATGAATTTCATTCTTTTTGAAATTTGAAAACACAGAATGAAATTTAAATTCGACATGATCTTTTTCTTTTTTTTTCATTTTGTCGAAAAAATCTTTGAGTTTATTGAAGAAGAACGTGATAAAGAGAAGAGAGAATTGATCAAAGTCTGCATTAATCATCGAACGTGTTTTGACTGAAAATAAGATATCAACTATCATCGTCAATGAATAAATCATGATTAGTTTGATGTCTTTTTTTATTTGATTCTGTTAAATAATTTGCTTTGTCAGGACTCACTTTCAATCAAGTTCTTTGTTTCTCTATGCGCAATAAGTATCTATGAGAAAATATCCCTTCTTTGAGTGTTTCGATCTGTTTTAAAATGAGAACTCATCATATATATAAAAAGTAGAATTGTTCATCGCGATACGATGGATTTTTCAACGAAACATAAAAATGATGGGTGGGTGTAGGTGCTAGGTGAATACATTATCCATACCCTCACCCACCCTGCTTTTATTAACACAAGTTTGATCAAAGTATGTCTACGAGTATGTTGTTTGTGATATCAACCACAACTCACGTAACGCGATATTTACTTTATTATAATCTCTCTACAAAATACATAGTGTACATATTGTCGACGATTACATTTTATGCGGATTGTTATGTTGGTAATGCATACGTATATAAAGAAGGATTATTTTTATTTCACTCTCATGTATTTTTATTTCAATAATATTTATTCTGCATATCTTAAGC